AAGTGCCCGCTGGGAATTTTCTTTATCGAATTGTTTGGCTGTGTGCGTGCCTGTCTGCTCCGTCTCTGTCTCCCCAGCTCACTCTCTCTCTCTCCATCTGTTTGTCTATGTTTCGTGTTCTCATTGCACTGACAAAAAACAGTTGAGAAATAAAAAACAAACCTACTGGGAAAATTGTGATTGATTTAACATTGTTACCTGTATGCTCTGATCCATTAATAACAGAACAACAGAAAAGTTGATCTATTTACATCCTTCCGACTAAATAAACAAGAAAGAAACTTAGTGAAAAACGAGTAGAAATGGTTACCAAACCCTTCATATCTGCGCTTAAGGTAATAACGTATAACGTTATTGAATATTTTTTGCTGTGTATAGAGTTCAGTGGATGAGGCCCGGCCGCTGAGCTTAAAGGTCTTTTCTGGACTGGGTGCTTCAGCACTCCACCCCGTCCCTTGCCATCGACAAAAGACCCCTGCCCCGATCGAATCGCACTCCCAGTGCCTGAGCTAACCCTTTCATTACGGTCTCAGTCGCAATCGAAGACTTGGCTTTAAGTTCTTGCCATGTGAATTCATCTCGATACTCGTGATTTTTTGCTTCTGCCCCGGCAACCCAGCGCCGCTCTTTCCAACTTCTTTTGTAGTTGTTGCTGCTCGGCGCACAGTATTGTTATGTTAATTTTGATTATACGCAACCCCATTGTTGTTGTTGCCGCGAATGCTAGTGAGTAAGTGAATGTGAATGTGACTGTGAGTGGCACGAGACCAGTCTTTCATATCTGCTGCTCACTAATTTGTGCGCGTGCCGACGGCTCAGGGTGCTCTGCCCCCTCCCCCTCCCCCCTGTGCATCTTTATTTTGCCTACCCCTCCCTTTCAGCACGGCCTGGAAATCGCATTTAAATAGTGCGGAATGCCCGGCCTTATCCCCGTTTTTCGGCTGTCAGTCTTTTGTGTCTGCGCTCCGAGGGCGTCGTGCTCTTCTCACGTCCACGTGCCGAGCATCAGTTTCGAGCTCGCCCCCAACTAACCCACAAAGGGTTACGTCCCCAGCTTCGCCCGCACTGTAAAATTAAAAGTGTTTCGCCTAAGTGTTTTGTTGTGTTTGCTAGTTGTTGCTCTTGCCGCAAGGCTTAACTAATGTGCAAGACAAAGGGCGCACAGATAGTCGAAATCCCTGACCGGGTTTTGGGGTATTTGATACGGTTCGAAGGGGTCCGAAGGGGTGGACAGCAATTACAATAGTCAATCAAGTTCGACTTGGGGCTAGCAGAAAGCCCTTCGTTGCCCCAGAGTTTAATGAATGAGAACATTTTGCGGTGACTCGAGAGCTACGGTTTCCGGTTGAAGGATAAGAAAAGGCTGGTGGTTGGGGGTGGAGCTGTGTATCCGTTTCGCCGCAGTTAAAGAGATTGACTCCGGATAAGGCAGCTCCCTCCGGAGGTTAATTAAACCCCGCTCCGCGGCCACGTGTTCAGGGTGGGGATGGGCGCTAATGAATATGTATTATGAGCGCTGAGGTGCTAATGGACACGACACGCCACACAATTCGGGTGCCGGTAACAAAAGCGCTGCAGCCGCAAATTGCATTAGAAATGCAAACAAGTGGGCTGCAGGAGCTCCACCCCAAAACCGCCCAGTGCAGCCAGCTCGGACCCCAGCTAGCGGAAATGTTCGACATGGAGGCGGGCGCTAATTGAATATACAAAATGCCCAAGCAGGACCTGGATCAGGACCCCCAACTCAGCCCCGTCACGAACTGGAAAGGGCAATGGGAAGGGGAAGGGAAAGGGAAAGAGGACGAGGACGGGGACGGGCAGCTGGACGTGGACCACGTGTTGGCCCTTCAGATGTTGCCATTGTTGCAAGCCAATCGACCGCCGTTCGTTCTACGGGGTTAGCCTCGGTCGAAGCTCTCGAGGGTTGCACGCCCCTCCATTCTGGGTGCGAGTTTCTCGCAGTGCAGATTCGGACATCGTGGGAGTTTTGCCAGTTGGCCCGCTTCCCCCTCCCCTTTTTATTGCATTTCCCACTTCCGCTCTTACGCTCATTGGATATGCAATTTCAGTGGCCTTTTGTAGCAGGGTACCCTGTTTTTTCACCGACCTTAAAACATTGTTTCTATACCACTGATTCCATTTAAAAAATTTTAATAAAAAGAAGTGCCTTTTTTGGAATGTTTTATGTAAATAAACTTTATTTTAGTTCAAAAAACATACCAAAGTATTATACATGTAGCTTTGATAAAAACTCAAGTTAGGATTTAACGTAACTAACTAATAACTAAATGTTATAAAATAGGGTATTAAAAACGTTGCTTCTTTAACTCTGCTGTTGTTTTTTGTCTGCCTTTATAAACTTTAATCCCATCTATATGCTCATTTGACTTAGTTGACTGCAATTGGACTGCCCTACCGCCTACCTACTGGGGCGACTTTATGACTGACCCCTACCCTTTAACCTGAATTTTTCCCCTTTACTTTTTAAATGTTCCGTTGTAAATGGGCTCACTTCCTTTTCCACACTGAGAAAAAATTAACAATTAATGTAAACAACAGCAGCACAAGATTTCTAAATTTTTTTTACTAGAAACAATTTTTTTTTTTTTTTTATTTTGACAAAAGAATGGTCAAAAAATTAACCTTTAATTTTTGGTGGGCCAATATTAAATTAGATATTACATTTCTGTCCAATTATTTAAAAATAGACTATTATGGATGGAATACTGTACTTAATTTATTTTGATCTTTTTTTGATAGGTTAAGGATTCTTGCGAATACACAAGTTTTCGAATGAATGTCTTAGTCGTTTCACTATTTTTTGTATTCATGGTAAAATTTTCATAAAAGCAAAATCGTTATCGGAGGCAGTGATATCTGAATGATTTCTGAACCGTTTCAACTCTCCTCGCAGCCTGGTCCTTTAACTTTAATTGGAATTGTTCTACTTCCTTTTGGTGCCCACATTTAGGCGGCCTTTTGTTACCTTTCCTTCTCCTCCGAATGTTACTGTTACTGGCAGCATTAATGGCCGCATTACTGTCGCTATATAGTATCTGCGACTCCTGCCCGCTGATATCTGCAGTCGTTATCTGGACTTCTTCCCGGCTGCAATTTCCATTGCGGTTCGGCTTGGCTGGAGTTCGGAATTGGGTTTTGTTTGGGTTCGGTTCGGCTTGGTTAATCGTTAGGGCTTGCGTGGGATTAACCAGTTTCTGGGATAGAAGGCGGGTGGGAATCGAGCTGCGGAGGTGGGGAACTGGCTGTAGGTTGTTCTATTGTTCTTGTTTTGATTGCAACGTGCAGATGTCTGGCGTGTTTGCGGCGGAAAAGTGATTTTAGGGGAGTCCTTTGCTGTTCGCAGCTCTCTTTAAGTTATTTCTGTAGAGCGACCAGGGACTCACAAAAGTTAACCAAAGTTAAACATCAATCCTTCTCTTCTCTTCCAGGTATGTGAAGTCGTCACTTGTAAATGGACTGAATGTGTGGATTCCCAACTTGATAAGTATAAGTCACCCGTCCGATTATCCTAACACCCCCTAGAATTCCCATCGTAATCGATGAAAAAGTTTCTGTGGCCGAGGGGAGAAAGGAAAAACAATAATTTCCGGTTTATGTCTGGAGCCCTCGTATTATGACAGCCAAACGATGAAAACGAAAGCAATCGTCTTGTCTGCCCTCATATGTGGTTGCAGGGGCGGAGTCGAAAGGGGGCCATTGTAGCGGGGCTCCTATTGAGCATTTGGCATATGCAGACGGCAGACGGCAGACAGCAGACATCGTGCCGTTGTTATTATTGGCCCCGCTCAATGGGGCCTGTGAATGAAATGTTTATTAGCCTGATTATTGTTCATAGACCAGCCGCCCATCCCGCCGCCCCCTTCAATTGGTGTTCCCATGGACTTCAGCTGCAAGTCAGTCGAGTCACGCACTTCCTGGACCACGCCCCAATTGCAGTTGGGGCAGGGCGGGTCCCTCAGCTAAATTAGCAATTGTCACATGGCGACCAATGCATCGACACACAGAGCACACAGGGGAGAATCGCGGATGGGGGAAGCCGGAGAGCAAGGAATTTCCCACCGCTTTTCCCAGTTTCCCCATCTGCTCCTCTTGAGCTGGTCAAACTGTGGACAACCACTGAAAGCATCCCCTATTCACACCCTCTCTCCTTCAAGGGGGTTGAAAATTCGTAACAATTAGCACTCAAGATGGATGGAAATGCCAGGGGGAAAATCAAATGGAAAAGTAGCACTGGGGAAGGTAGAAAGAAGATTTTCGAATCAGAGGCACGAAAACCTTGAGTTTACAATATTTTTTATTCTCCGAAGCGACCGGTTTCAATTGTCCCGAAAGATGCAGTAATTCCGTTATCCGTATTTCGATAGTTTAATGTGATAGAAACGACTTTAATCTCTCAGCTAATGAGCCATGTCGCTGTCTGATGTCCAATGCCGTTCGCCAGAAAAACGAAGACCCTCGCCCGCCCGCATGCTCCATTAGCGTCACACAATTTGTACCTACCGAAAAAAGAAATCCATCAGAAGGGCCCACAATAAAACCAATTCCAATGAAATTTTTCATCCCACCAAATTGAAAAAGCGAAAGAACGAGAACGAGAAGAGCAGCCGAAAGCCAGAAACAACAAGAAGACAGCACAACGACGACGGGCAAACAAATAGCCACGGACCCGGCTCGGAATCCCTCTGTCTCTGATGGAACACAATGGGGAGGGACCGGGAACTGGGGAGGGGAGTGCGACGGAGGGGAGGCATCTCGAGAAGCCCTTTTTATGGTGCAACAAATCTCGGGCTGAATGAAAACGCCAGAGAAGCGGCGTGGAAGTGAGTAGAGTAGACCAACGCAAAGTGGGAAACCGAACAAACAAGCAAGACCTCCACCTTCTTTCCGAGGGGGTGGAGATGACTTCGCCATGACGACGATGACGATGACGAGGACGTTGCGGCTGTGCCTGTGCCTGTGCCATATTATTAAGTGTAGCCAGAAGCAATTAGGTGTAGATAAGCAAACAATAATGGTCCCAGTCACGTACCGCCGCCCGACTCTGGTCACTAGGCATTTTTCTACTGGACGGACGAATGGTTCAATCGCTGAAGTGGATTGACCAAAGGACACATGGCCGACTCCTTAGCTGTTTCTTAGACATTTGTAGTTCTTGCTTGCTATCTAGCGCATTTAATTTCTGTAGATGTCTACATACCAATAGCACTGTACAAATAAGAGTCTTCTACTTTTAGCTTGAATGCACTTGAAACTTCGGTAACCTTGTTATACTTGTGCACCAAAAGACTACTCAGTTAATTACTCCACCTACCTTTTGGACTTTAAATACTTCTTGTCACCCACAAGGAGCTTCTGCCAGTGCTCCAATAAGTTGCGCAGCGCCTCCAGTCCAAACTTACTCAACCGAACTCAGTTGAAGATCGATTGGGTTAGCATTGCGAAAATTCCCAGAAGAGGGACCTTCCTCCAGGACTTGAAAGGAAGTGCGCCTTTGTTCAAGCAAGGATAGTGCTCCTTACAGTCCTTACACAATCTGACAGGTAGCTTTTCGTTGTCAAAGACACGTCGATTTAGGGCCAACTGGCAGCCAACCGAGGGAGAATACAGACAGCAGAACGTCTTTATGTAAGCTGCGGGAGAAACGAGTTGAGGCTTAAGGTTTACGGGTGAGGACTGAGCTCCAAACTTATCACGAAGGGATAGGGCGTGCACTGGGAGTAGGTGGTTTCATATGTCCTGGTACTCGTGCGGAGTACATCGTCGGGAAGCTCCCGTTGGTAAACATAAGCCCCTGGAGCGCAGAAGTACCCCGTGAGGTTGGTTTCGCAGTGGAACTTCCATTTAGCGTTACAATCGACGCACTGACCCAGAATGGCTGGAATGGTTGTTAGAAACCAGGGAGCCATATACAGGATCACTTACCTGGAACCAAGAGAAGAATAAATACTAGGTAATTTATTTTGACAGATGGCATATCAACATAAAGAAAATCTTAAGTTTATTTTCTGTGTAAATGTCAAATAATGAACAAGTCCTATGTCCTAGTGAAGCAGTATATTTAATTTGAGAAAAATATGCATTTGTGCTTCTTACCTTGGGTTTCTTTCAAGGTGCGGTAATCCGTCGAGTCCAGCTTCCATAATTAACGGCACTCGAATGACGTTTGCATATTTCAGAGGCAGCCACGAACTGATTCAGCTGATCTTTAATGAATTCTTCCTCAGCTGGCTAAATTCCCCTGAATTCTGTGCTCATTATGCTACGTGGGCTGGCATCGGTCGAAGGTTCCTGGAAATCGCCTCCGAAGAGCATTCAATATCCAGGGGAAGCCAAGAGCCGGCATTAATAACGATTCTCATTTCGCCTTGCGAAGTCATGGATCGAAAATGCATTTTTTAATCTTCAAAACAGCATCCATCCGTTGATTCCCAAGAGTCTTGGAAAATAAAAAGAAAAAGATAACCCCATAATAAAATCAGTCTAAATCTCACTGAACTCTTGTCACTTAATAAATAAAAGATAGAGAAATCCAGTTTACTTAATAACAGTATGTGAACCAAGGCTTTGGCTTCTCTGTTGCAATCTTTTAGAGGAGTTTTCAAAAAGATTTAAGAATTATAGGTCGGCTTACCTAATTTGATTAGAAATTTTGGGGAGAATAAAGATGTCGGTCTGGGTATGCAGATCAAATTAGCCCCTGAATCTAAGCTAATTGCAGCACTTGTGCTGGTTCTCCTACTAGAAGGTACGTGGACTTCGTTTGAATTTGAATCACAGAACCTGCCCGACTGGCTCTGCAGCGGCATTGTTATTCAAATGCTGCCATTAATACTTCACTAGCAATTGAAAACGCCCGACGACGACAAAAGCTCGGATGCAAGTGAGTCATCTGTGGGCGAGTGGCTCTGGTGTCTATGGTGTCTATGGCCACATGACATGTGTGAGTGCTCCTTCGAGCTGTATCCGATCCCCCAGCTCACATCGGTGCGCCCTGGGCATTCATATGTAAATTCCGGTGCCTTCTCCAGTGTAGCCGGGAAGTCTAGTGCCTGGGTGTCGCTTTTTCTACTCCTTTTTCGTCCTGTGCACTCCGGCTTGGGGCCCCCACTCCTTCTGGAAACACAATATAGGAAAGTGGGGTTACAAGTGTTTTGAATTTATTAACTTTCGTTCAGAGCGGCCCAGTGGGAGAGCACCAGCTCCTCCGCCCGCAGCCGCAACTGGGCCTCTACACTCTGCGGCATTAATGGAAAATTGTAACGAAAAAGTTTTCCCCGCCCTCGTAAATACTTCTCGATTGTATCTCCCGCGTGGAGGGGTGTGGAATTATAGTTGGTGGCAAACAAAAGGGAAAAATTGAAATCAAAATCATTTGTACGGTTGTACGTCTGCAGCGGACGGAGGGGAAACCCCGCATGACAGCAGCAGCAACAAAGCGGCAACGGCTACAATGACACCAGGCAACATCAATAATAGGAACACCAACGGCAATAACTATCACAATCACAATCGGGCATCGGGCACACATCGCCGTCGTCATCCCCCAAAATGGTATTGAATTTCAGTTGCCATTGCCTACCCCACTCTCCGCTTCTTCCTTTGCCTCTCGAGCATTTAATGAATTTATCAGCTGGGACCCATCGCCGGCGCTGATCTTCGGCTGGTTCCATTTTACAATTCGGGGAACAAGTCGGTGGAATCTTCGGAGCGCTCTGCCGTTTATTAACATTTAATGGTAATGGAATTGCTGTGAAGGCAGCTTGTCGGGGTCACCACTCAAATAAAAAAAGGAATGCGCATAAAGCCCCAATCAAATGGCTTCGGATATTCTGCTCCACCGACTAATCCCAAACCCGAGTGGCACACACGCACTCGCTCCGAAGCTCGAACTCCAGGCCCCACAGACTCTCCGCTTTCCGGCAGGCTTTAATTAACCCTCCGGGAGACGGGGCAGAGCAGCAAAACTAGGAGTAAACACAGTAATTGTGTGTGGATATGGCCCTGAACCGCAAACCCCGAAAACCAGGCTCAGGCCCGGCGCAGAGCACCTGTCGACTGCCTTCTGGGCCTACATTTAGCCTCACTCGCATCTGGATTAAAGACACTGACAGTGTGTGGCACGTTGCACGCTGCTCCAAGTTGCACTTTGCCAGGAGCGTGGTGAACAAACGGAATACGCAACCACACTCGCAACAAGTGCACTGACAATAATTTTATTACATTATTATTCGAATGAGAAAGAAAGCTGATTTTGATTGGGTAAATGTAATCGAAAAAAATTATGGTTTCCCAGAGCACTTAGCCGATGAAGTATCCAGAATGCAACAATTTAGAAACAAATTAACCTAGACAAACATTTTTTTAAGTGCCCAAGAGCTTTGAACTAATATTTTCACAAGCACTAAGGCAACAAATAAGAGCAGGCAGCAGATAGAAGACGAGACAGACAGACTGGGTAAGTGGGGGCCTTTGGCAGGGATAAAGACACAGACGGACCATCTAAAACCAGCAACAGGACAATTAAATTATGCAAGATTTTTCAGTGGCTCGCAAGCTCCTTTAGTCCGTGCGGAAACTGTTCTCCAGCTCTGTGACTTCGACAGCAAAAGAATTTGGCCAAGATTTTCCGTAAATTGATTTTAAATAAATTAAAACTTAAACATTGACATTGTGTCCACCCGAAGTGAAACTTCTTACAGGAATTTCGTTGGCATTTCAAGCGGCTGGGGTGAAGCAAAGATAATTATTTTATTTTGCTCGCGAAACAATGCATAAGTATCCCCTCTTGGGAAAGTGAACATTTAAAGCCCTTGTGCAGAGGAATTGCTTACTTTATAGGGTGACTTAAGTTATCTGATATTTTTGGGAATTGTCGCAATAATTAAAGCACTCCTTTCAGTCAAAAAAAGTAATGACTAGATCTCGCTTCTATAATAATGTTTTTGCCTACTTTTATTTAACTTTCTCAGACAACTTAGTTATTTAGAGCAGTTCTAGAGATAACTCTGCCTTCATAGTAATAGTTATAGGGGACTCCGGATAAAATAAAATGGAATTCCTACATGGTTTTCTTGCCCTTGCCTGCGTAACTAATTTTTCCGATCCCCTCTGGCAATCCAATTTGTAAGTCCGCCAGATCCCTCGTTCTGCCGCCCTCTCGTAATGATAAATCATCTTTTGTGTTCGCGCTTTGTTTTCTCCGATTTGGTAACCGTTTTCTCAGCTCTTTCCACGGATGCCTCTTGAGGTATTCCAGTGCCAGACCTCGGATTCGGTTTCAAGTTGGGGCTTCTTCACCTTGACTGGGCATTCGAAAATTCAATGTAATTTCATGATTGTTGCGAGCGGACGCATTTTGATTGATACTTTGGCACTACTTAAAGGCCATCGGCCTGCTTCCCTCTGTCCGATTTCGGGTTCCAACGAAAAACAATTGTCGGGCGAAATGCATTTCTGTGGATTCATCAATCTTTATCGTTCTTTCCCTCGCAGCGGTTTAGTCACCCAAAAAAGCTTATTTCCTGCTGCGTTCGAACTTCGACGTTCCCCTCCCCGATTCCTGTGGCGCTCATTACTCGGCGGCAGGATAGCCTCGCCGGCAGGTGGGAGATGGGCGGGCCGACGTGGTGGGGCGTGGCCAGAGTCCGGGCCGCCACTTGTCGCGGCCACGACTTTGACTTCGGCCAGAGTTCGAGTTCCAGTTCGGATCTCTGCTCATTTCGTATGCCGTTAGGAGGCCCAATGTAATTATTCAATACATTTTACGTGCCTAGCAAGCCAAACATCTTGCTAACGCCACGCCCCCGGAACGCCCACGCCCCTGCCGCTCCCTCAGCCCTCGTCGGTTGCCCAAAGAACGTGTGTGAGGAGCAGCTGAGGTTCTCCAGCCTGCGCTTCATTAGAATACGTTCGTATCTGCGATGTGTCGTTGACTTGTTTCGCCTGACCAGCGCCATCTGTATTGCCCATCCCCATTCTACTGGCTTCCGCTTCCTTTTGCCACTTTCGGGGCACTTTCGCAATTTATTAAACATTTTATTGCGCCCCAAGGCGTACTTGCCCACACAAAAGAGCCACGGCTGAGATGGAAGGTGGGTGGAGCTCGACCGCATTTCCAAGGAGCAGGACAATTAAAGCCAGGTCGCAATGCAAAACGATTCCGGCACAGGTGGCCACACATACCCCTTCTTCCTTGAAGAAAACCACCTCGTAAACAACCCGACCGAAAGTTCGATTTCGGGGGAGATGAGCAGCGGAACAGAAGGCTTGGAGCCGGGCTTTCCATGGGGAGAAATTTGCATTTCATAGGATTTCGTATAGTGGACGCACTTGGGGATTTTATGAAATGGTTACTTAAACAACATTTTATTCCTCCACTCGAACCACTTCTTTAACTTGGCTGTCGTTACCCGCTTATTTACCAAGAGCAAGGGCAGGCAAAAAGTCAGCTTAAAAGTTTTTTCACGATTTCCCTTTAACGACAGCAGTTATAAGGATATTTTCAGGAATATTTGATAATTTATTTAAGAGCAATAACTCTGATGTTTTGACCCGCGTTGTTTTTCTTTTTATCTATGTATGTATACTCTATACAAATAAGTTAACCTACGTTGTGTACTTAATTTATTACGACAAATCATATGAGTTTAAAGAAAAGCCTTCATATATTATCCGCATTTAGAGCACTGTATCAACAGTGTGTATTCATGTTCTTAAGAATGGTCTTATACTAGGAAGCTCATGTATGTTGTAGCCTTACTAACTTAAATTGAATACCCAAATTGACAGGAAGAAAGAAAGATCTCGGTCTAACCATCTTAAAAACATTACTTAAAAGTAAAAAGTGACTTTGTTGCTACGCAAGGATATTTTTAAGGGAAAAACGGAATGCTCCTTGTAAACTAAAAGATTTGACGAAAAGTAGTTTCTCGAAATAAACAGGCAGTTCAGTTCACTGCCCAAAGCGTGGACCCTCAAAACCAAAGAATTGACGAAAAGGGCCGCGGACTGAGCGCATTTTCCGACACTTTTCCAAACTAATTTCAAACTTTACACCCGAAAGAGATTGGTAGAAAAGCGCAGCGAGTGCAAGAGCAAACACAAACACTGAGGAACAAAAAATTGATTGCTAGACAGATTGACAGAGCGAGCGAGACAGCTGATGGCAAGGAACTACCAACAATGTCAAAACAAATGTTACAGCAGTGTGTGCAGGAAAGAGAGAGGGAGAAGGGGAAAGATGCCAGCGGGCGGCTCGTTTTTATGTTAAAGCCGCAGTCGACGTCGGCAGCGCAGCCCGCAGCTGTGATTTTGTGTTGTTGTGCTTCTATTTGTTCCCGCCAAACAAAGCGGCCTCTCTTTCTCTCCATCCCTTTCCCCACGCATCCCGCTTTCTCTCTTGCACATGCTAGCCCGCGGCTGTCAAATATATACATACATACTTACACATATGTACAAATGTATGTTGATGTATGAAACTCTGCCGGATTCCCGAGTAGTTAATGGAATACATTTCAAATTGACATAATGCCGCTGCAAGAGCAACTACAAACATCAGTTACAACTATCCCGCAAAGTTGCGTCAAGTGTTTGGCCAGCTAAAGCGACATTTGCTGTATCGGATGCGGCTGCAATAGTTATTGATAAGCCGCTGGCTAATCGAGAAAGCTCTTGGTGGATCCAAAGCTAATGCAATTGGTCGCGGAGGACGGACTGTTTCTCTTGAGGAAAATCTCAACGATTGTTTAAAAGTTCTTACATCTATAACCTTAATGTACATCTTAACTTCCATAAATACATAAGAATGTAAATACATACAGTATGTAAATTTTTTTCAATCGCATCATACTTAGTTTGTAGTCTAGTTTGTACATATGTACGTACATATGTAGACTTGGAATTGGTGGCAAATACTTACATATAACCACAATTTGAAAGTTAAAACATGGTTTACTGATATTTCTTTAAAGGATCTGGACGTATTTTTGGTTTTTTCCTCCATTATTATGTTAATTTTTATAAAAATTCAACAGATCTGTGCGTTCAATTTTTATTGTGGCAGATGGTGGTTTGAGTTTTCCAATTCGAGTGCCAGCGAACAACTTTTAATTTACGAGCGGACACAGTTCTCATTTATTCTGCTAGGTATTGTTGAGGGTTCCTTGATACTTATTTTAAAAGTGTCCCTTCGGGGCAAATCGCTCGACAGGGTATCAATTATTCGGCTCTTATGGTCTTTTTGTCCTATTTGTTGCTGGTGTTAATCCCTGGGTCTGGGCTTACCGCTTCCATCTCGGCCACACCTCAGGAGCAGATCCAGTTCCAGCCCAGGTCCGGGCCCAGATTCAGGTCCTGGTCGCCGGGCTCTGGCGAGGAAGGAGGCGGCGAAGCCAAATTGCGTGCGCAAACAGAGCTGAGCTGCAGCTTCATTAGCGAGGGTTGCTCAGGACAAACACATGCACACATCCAGCTTGTACGACACACATGTGTGTGCACTGGCGTTTTATTATTATTTTCTTTATTGTTTAGCGCGTTATAATTGGGGTGCCGTGAGGGGGGTCCAGTCAGGCAGGATACTCCTTGGCCATGTGTGTGTGTAGCTACACACAACTAAGTACACAATGCATGCACTCTCCCGGAAGACCTATATTCTGTTTACTCAACTCCGCTCACACTGCAAGTGGAGTCTGAATAGAGCGATGTTTCTAACCATACATATGTATGTACATATATGTATGCATACGAGTATGTATATAAATGCATGAGTGTAAGTCCAAGGGTCGGTGTTCCTGCGAGGGATAAAAATAGCGTTTCCTCGAGCTAGTCATTAGAAATCTATCGTACGAATGTGCACTTTTTGACAAGCTTTCTGATCTTTATTTATCAAATCTTTTATGATTTATGAAATTCTTAAGTCCGGAGCTTAATCAAAACCCATTCACGTGAATTCTGTGCATTGTGCTTATTGTTGCAATTATTCAAATTCCGAAGTGCCGTTTTGTGCTTAACATTTTGATGGTTGCTATTATCAATAATTATTTGACCACAATAGTGGACTTAACATTCAAAACCATTGTGCTTTTCTGTTGCTGCAACATTTTCCACTTAAGTAAATGCACTCAAATGAACGTCCGTTCTTTGATGTTTCTTTGCTTGTTTGTTACATTGAATGTCAATACCTATTGTTACATATGTCCATGTTGCAGAATGTCCAGTTTGCAATGTTGGGCGTTTAGCTACATATGGCGATAACTCGGAACGGATGTGCGTGTGTCACCACATACTGACAACTCCCTGTGTTAATTAAATAAACTGTAATTTCATTTGTCAAGTCTAATGAAGAACGGCGGCCGCTTTATAAAATAGTTTACGCAGAAGAGCCAAATTAGCATACGACAAGCGAACCCATATCAAATGTAGAGTAATAGACACAGGTACTAGCCGTAACTCATTCGTACGTCACACACACACTACATCCAACCTACACCCAACATCCATCCACCCCC